TGTAATTAATTTACATTTAAACAGCTACACATGGCTGGTGGCTATGGTATTGGGTTGTGGGGCTGTAGAGAAAGGAGTGGATTTCGGTGGAGAGATAGTGGTTTCTGGCACAGCAGTTTAATGGCTGTGTGATTGGGCAACATATTTAACATCTCTGTGTCTGACTTTCCTCAACTGTAAAATGGGTATGATAGTGATATCTACCTCTTGGGCTGTCATGAGGGTTATGAGATCATTCAGGCATAGCACTAAGTGCCCGGCACATAACCAGCGCTCAACCAAGGTTATCCTGTGGATGACTTGGAGGCGGGGACTCCGGTTAGTCCTGGAGTTATGCCACGTCTCCACAAAGCCCTCCTGGTCTTCCCAACTCTGTGTGATCTCTGAAGGTTCGGCATCTGCCACGTCATGCCAAGGCCACTCATCTGATTGTCTCGCGCATTTGTCCTGACTGGGCTGTTTCTCGCCCATCTCTCCACCTTCCACTTTCCCCAGAAGAATTCTCTGCATATTTTGAGCAGGTAACAAACATCCATTGCACTGAATTGAATCCATCAAGGGCAGAGAGAGTCGCAAAGACGTGTTCCCTGGACAGTTAGAACCCGAAGTCACATCTACCGGGCCCCAAATGTAGCAGGGCTTTGCTACTTACCCAGGTCATTGAATGTGTGTAGGTGTCCAAACGGGAACATTCAGGCCACCCCCCCCCCCCCGGTGTGTAGTTTGCAGTATTTCTTTTAACATTTGCACAGTTTTTATTCTCCACATTACTCTACACACACACACACACACACACAAGGCCATTTAGTTCACATGCCTTTTACTCTGTGTCTTTTCCCACTGTCTGGAAGGCCATTCCTGGCAGAATTCCTGTCCAGAAGCTGCCAAGGAAGACTGGAACTACTCAGTTTGGCTTCCTGGACATGAGTCCAGTGACCTGTAGAAGGGGTTGGTGATAGCAAAATCACATGGGACCTGTCCCTTAGCCCTGGGGCCCTGCGCAAGCCTCACAGTGCCCCTCAGGATTCTCTAAGTGCCTCAGAGTCTTAAGGATGTTCTGCCAAATATTCTAGATACTCTTAAGAGTCCATTAATGCTTTTCATCAATCAATTTATCTAGACTGTCTCATGTATTCATTCAACAAATATTTGTTGAGCCACTGTTCTATGCCAGTATTTTGGTGTTTAGAAAATGAAACAGAGTTTCCGTTTTCAAGGAACTTTCATTTCTAGTAGGGTGGGAAGAAAATAGACACATATATATCAGCTCTCAGTATGTCCTATGAGAAAAAGGAAAGCAGAATCTCTCATTGTCTACTGCTACATAACAGATCAGCTCAAAACATCAGGGCCTTTCTCATACCTCTGTGGATTGGGACCTTTGGGACCTTTGCTGTTGGAACCTTCCCCTGGGCTCACTCATGAGGCCGCAGTTGGCCAGAGGTTCAACGACAGCTAAAGGCTCTGAGAAGCTTCATTCACAAGTCCAAGAGGGCAGCCTTGGTGCTGGCTGTTAGCCGGTCCTCCCCACATGGCTCCTCCATGGGGGGCTAGCCCTGGCTTCCTTGCGTGGTGGCAGGAGTGTTCCAAAGGAAGGCGCAGGCTGTGAGGCCTCTCGTGACTTAGGACCAGCTCACACCGTGGCCTCTCTGACTCATTCTGTAGAATGAGACTGTCAGGGCCAGTTCCAAGCCAGCCCCGTCTCAGGAGTGGGGAGGTAGAGGCCACTCCTTGATTGGAGAAGCCACAAAGGATTTGTGCCACCTTTTCTTCTCCAGCTTTATTGACATGTCACTGACATACTGTGTAAGTTGAAGGCATACAGGCTCCTGATCTCATACACATGTATTGCAATAGGAGAAGACGTGTGACCACTTTCAGTCTACCACACAGGGTAAGGGAACGCAAGTGATGCTGTGTTAAATAGAGCGGTCAGACGAGTTCTCTCATGAGGTGCTCTTTGGGTAAAGACCTGAATGAAGTAGGGGCATAAGCCATGCAAACCGCTACAGTGTTGCAGGCAGATGGAAGGGCAAGCTAAAGCTCTGAGTTCGGGCAGCTGCAATTCTTTGCATTTTATGATAATACCACAATATGAAGGCTTTAAGAGAAAGTGCTCTCCTGTTACTTACCCAGCTCTCCCTGTGCAACGGTAGAGAATTCCTGAAAGGGCTGAGCAGAGTTAAAAGGGGGACCCTTGATTTGGAGACACCGAGATGTGAGGGTGAATCCTTTATAAAATCTAAGACCAGACATAGCCCCTCTGAGAGGATCAAGTTCTGAGTCATTGGAGGGATAGGTGTAGGATTCACAAAGGAACGGGGCAGAGCAGAGCAAAGTGGGAGGGTTTATGCTGTAATTAGCCAAGATCACCATGGGAGTCTGAGTGTAATCGGGTAATTAGTGTGTTTTGGGGGGGTAAGGGAGGTGAGGGAGTGCAATTACCTGGCTCACCGGCTGCCAGACGGTTGTCACTGCTCTTCTGACCCTTGGGCCGGGTTCCTGGCTCTACCTGTGGACTATTAAGTGTAATGACCTTGTCATGTAGGGGAACCTGTCATTATCTCTGTGTTAACATAGTATTTACCCATAGAATCTGCCAAGTCACTCTGTGATTAAAGGGCCTTGGCATGGTCCCCTGCCCTGGCATTGGATAGTCCTCTCATGAGCGTGGTCAGGGCAGGGAGGGCTGGAAAAGACTGAGAGAAGTTGGGCTGGGGTCATCCTGGGGGCGGTCAAGAGGGACACTGTACCTGAGACTGTACCACAGACTTTGGCCACGGGAATCCTGAGACGCCGAGTCAACCCTCGCACAATCAGGCACATTTCCACATGGAGCTAACTCATTAGCCACTGAGGGAAACAAAAGTCAACTTTAAAATCTTGAAGGTTAAAAAAATATTAATGAAAAAAAAATGAAATCTTGAAGGTTGAGGGACATCTGGCTGGCTCAGTCAGAGGAACATACAATTCCTGATCTCAGGGTTATGGGTTCGAGCCCCACATTGTGTATAGAGATTACTTGAAATTAAAAATCTTTTTAAAAAAGTAAAAAGTTTTTGGGGCGCCTGGGTGGCTCAGTGGGTTAAGCCGCTGCCTTCGGCTCAGGTCATGATCCCAGGTCCTGGGTTCAAGCCCCACATCGGGCTTTCTGCTCAGCAGGGAGCCTGCTTCCTCCTCTCTCTCTGCCTGCCTCTCTGCCTACTTGTGATTTCTCTCTGTCAAATAAATAAATAAAATCTTTAAAAAAAAGGGGATTTCAGAAAACTTACATACTTAGCCCCTGTCCTCAAAGACTTCATAATCTTATTTGCAAATGGAGTATGCATCCTCTTGATAAGACAACAGAGTATGGGTTAAGAGCAAAATGTGGGGGCGCCTGGGTGGCTCAATTGTTAAGCATCTGCCTTGGGCTCAGGTCATGATCCCAGGGTCCTGGTTCAAGCCCCACATCGGGCTTTCTGCTCAGCAGGGAGCCTGCTTCCTCCTCTCTCTCTGCCTGCCTCTCTGCCTACTTGTGATTTCTCTCTGTCAAATAAATAAATAAAATCTTTAAAAAAAAAATAAAAATAAAAATAAAAAAGTAAAAAGTTTTTAAAAATCTTGAAGATTGATGATCTCTTCTGAAGTCTCTCTAATAGGAAGGGTAGGGGAGAGAATCCCATCATATAATGTAGAGCAAAACTCGCAGAACGTCTTCTGCAGCTCTTGCTTCCTACTCCCCACTTCCCTTGCACTGTCTTCCCCACAATGCAAGCAAACATCCCTCTCTTTCATCAGGGTCCCCCCTGCCTTTGGAGCTCCTTTGTCACAGGCAGCTCCAAATCTTCTCTAATGAAAATCCGATTGGCCCTTGGTCTCATGCCTTGCTCCTCTCTCCCATTACCCTGTCATTGCCATAAGGGCACAAACCCAGAAGACCACTTAAGAGGGTAGAAGGAGCAAACCTGTGATCACGTATGGGCCAACAGTCTGGGCGCTGATGCCTGAACAACACTGTGCCAAGCGTCCTCCTGCATATACCTTCACACCCAGGGCTAGTTTTTTCTGTAGGATGAATTCCTGGACTTGGGGTGACTAGGTATGAATCTTTGAATCTGAAAAGATACTGTTGAATTATGTCTAAGAGATGATGCACATTTAATCTCCGGCGAATCATGTATTAGAATGCATGTTTCCCTGCTCCCTTTCCAACGTGGGTTGCTCCCACTTTCTCTTTTAAGATTTTATTTATTTATTTGAGAGAAGAGAGAGAGTACGAGCGGGAGGAGGGGCAGAGGGAGAGGGAAAAGCAGACTGTCCGCCGAGCAAGAAGCTGCTGCCACCGGTCTCAATCCCAGGACCTGAGCTGAAGTCAGACGCTTCACCGACCCAGGCATCCCTAGTTGCCACTACTTTCATTGCCTCCATTGTTTGCTGATTGTATGTGTGACACATGTTCATTGTAAAAAAAAAAAAAAATAATAAATAAAAAAAAAAATCAGGAAATGAAGAAAAACTAAGAGAAATAAAAGCTAGCTGTCCTGCCACCACCCAAAGATAAAAAGCGTTGGTCTTTCTGAGAGACGGCAGAGGCCACAGCTAGCCAAAGTAATCACCTGATGGAACCTTCTGGAATCCCTAGTGCTGGTAACAAGGTGGTAAAGATGGCCTCATTCTCTTCTCTGTCCCTTCCCCAGCCACTGATGTCTCCAGAGGCTTGAGGTATTTTCCTCAGCCAGTGGGGACTATTCTGAAGGAGTCCATTCCAGGTATCCATATCCCTCATGGGTCTCCTGAAAACAATTCCACTGCCAGGAAGCCTTCAAGCCTGAGGATTTGTGGAGTAGGAATGGAATACGAACATTCCAAAAATGTGTTTCCAGGCACTGACAGCTGGATCTGACAAATTGGAAAACGCATCTCTCCGGCCAGTCCCAGAGCCAAGTTTGTGTTTCTCGGGGGCCCTGACATGCCCTGTTAAGCCACCCGTCTAATGACGGCTCTGCTTTCCATTCCAGAGACCTGAACTATAATGAGCTGCAGGAGTTCCCTGTCGCCATCCGGACGCTGGGCAGACTGCAGGAACTGTAAGCTCTTCTGCTGCTTTCTGGGGGTGTCCTCTTCTCTCTTCTCCCAGGGGCAGGGGCTGAAGCCGCCGGTCCTGGGCTTCCCTCACATCCTCCTATCCTGTGGTCCTTGTGGGAACCGTAGCCGCGTGCCCTCCCCGGCCCCCCGTGCGGGTCTGAATAGTCACAGACCTCCTTAGTTTGGCACGGAGCGTTTCCAAATGGGTGCCATCAGCAGAAATGGCTGTGGGCTCTTCCAGCCTGGAGGGACACATGGCACACGACACCTCTCGGTCGCTGGGCCCAGCACTGCCCCCACCTGGGTTGGGGTGTGTCCAGAGACAAATGAGGAGAGGAGCTGGGGGCTGGGTAGCGGGGTCACTGCTCCAGCACCTGATTCCAGGGAGGAGATGAGAAACCGGCTGTGGCTCCTCGCAGACACCACTTCTTGTTACTCGGTTTTAGCACCAACTGTGCGAAGCACTATGCTCCCTGCTAAAAACAATCCGGGAGTCAGATAGTCCTGGGCTGTCCCTAGGGATCTTTTAGGTCTGTCAGGGAGCAGGACAGAGCAGCTTCGGGTGGGTATATAATTCCAGCTCTAATGGAACAGTAGTAGCTAAAATGACTGGAAATCCAGAGTGACTTGGAAAGAACACTGTGGACGAACACATCTGAGATTAGCCTTACAGGATGGATGGGATTTAGGTGGCCGTGGCAGGGGAGGGGAGGAGGTGTTTCAGACAGAAGAACGGAGTAGGCAGGCGGAGATTGGAAGTTGCATGGGCAGAGAGATGACTGCAGGAGAGGCCAGCCTTACTGGGGAAGAGGCTCTTGGCAAACAGTAGGAGATCTATTGTTAGTAAAGTGGGACCAGATTAAGGGAGCCTGACATTTCTTTTCTTTTTTCTTTTTTTAAGATTTTATTTATTTGACAGAGAAAGACACAGAGAGGGAACACAAGCAGGGGGAGTGGGATAGGGAGAAGCAGGCTTCTGGCTGAGCAGGAGCCCTATGTGGGGCTCAATCCCAGGACCCTGGGATCATGACCTGAGCCGAAGGCAGACGCTGGACGACTGAGCCACCCAGGCATCCCGAGCCTGATATTTCTGAGCAGCGCCCCACACTTTTAAGTAGCCTCGTATCTTTACTCAAACTACCACCTGAGACCTTCAGGACCAACCCCATGCCACCCACCATTCCCACCCCATGCGAGGTTGGAAGGTGTAAATGCCAGATGTGTGTAGCTGAGAAGGAGCAACTGGACCACCTCGGGGGGAAGGGTCGGGGTGAGAAACTACTGGAAGTCCTCCTCTGCCGATGAATCGCCAATGCGTATAAGAGTGTGCGTGTGTATGTGTGTGTCTGTCTGCCTGCCTGCCTGTCTGTCTGTCTGTCTCTGTATCTCTCTGTTTATTGAGAGAAGGCTGCTTGAGGACAGGCCTCTAAACTTCTAAATCTCTCAGAGCTTAGCTTAGCTCAGCATTAGGCACAAAGGAGGAGTCCAAGAACGTATAACGAGTGAGTTAACAAAGAAATGAGAGAGTTGGAGGAGCAGCCTAGGTGGGTCGCATGGGCTGGGGGTGTCTGCGGGGACCTGTGGGGAGAGCATGAAAGTGGAAATAATAAGGGGAGGGGAGAGAGGAGAGAGAGGAGTGGAGGCAAGGAAGGCATGAGGAGACACTAGAAATCTCCCATGAAAAAGAGGGTGGCTGGGAGGGGTCTGCTCAGCCTGGATCATGTGCTTCTCAGTCCAACTTTTATCTTGTAATGTTCCCCCCAACTAACCAAACTTGTAATTCCTGCTTCCAGAGCCCTGGACATTGGGACCTGGAGCGGGTCCTGGAGAGGGTCCCTCCCTTCTCACCTCCTCATGAGGCCACCCAGTCCCTCAACACCCGCTGCCTCTCCCCCATTCTGTGGCTGCTGTCCTTCTAGATTCCTTAGTCTCCAGGCCTGAAGACCAAGCCAGCCTCCATTTGGGGGACATCTCTCGTTCCTGCAACCCCCAGAAGCTCTGTTTTTCTCACACACCCTCAGCTACCTCTTGGGGACCCTGTGGGTTTCCTGCCACATGGGACTGAGGAGAGGACGCAGGTCCTGGGGTCTGAACTCAGCCTGCTGCCCCCAAGTTGCTCCCCCACCCCTCTGCTCCCTAAGGCTTTACTTTTCACAAATGTCGGAGAAAAGGACGGGTGTGTGATGGAATGAAGCAGACACATCCCAGGCAGAGGGGAACCTGGAATCTCGGGCTGCCATCTCTTTGGTCTTATGGTGCTTCTAATCAGCTTTCTGGAAGCTTCATGGAATTCTGTTTCTCCCTCTCCACACCTCTCTCCAAGTCTTTACTGACTCATGGTGTTGTCTTCCAGGGGGTTCCATAACAACAACATCAAGGCCATCCCAGAAAAGGCCTTCATGGGGAACCCTCTGCTGCAGACAATGTGAGTCCTCACTTCTCTGTCTCTTGGTGCTGTGCCTTTTTTGGGAGAGGGGCCAGGGCCTGGGGAGGCAGGACTCTGTGAGGGGGGGCCTTCCCCGATGTGTTCTTTCCTGGTCTGCTTTCCTGGACAAAGCAGAGATCGGCCGGGGTCTCAGCTCAAAGGGCCAAGTAACTAAATTAGATGTTTGGGTCTTTTTCTTCCAGACACTTTTATGATAACCCAATCCAGTTTGTGGGGAGGTCAGCGTTCCAGTACCTGCCTAAACTGCACACACTGTAAGTTGGACCTCCCCCAGGCCTCCCTCCTTCCCGCTGCCTCTGGCCTCCCTTCTGCAGGTGTAACACCAGCAGGGTGCTGCCCCCACTGCGAGGCCTGGTCTCCGACGCTGCGGCCTCTGCTCGGCTCAGGACTATTCCCGGACCCGGCTGCTCTAATCAGCCTCTAGTTAGCTCCCTGTGGCTTCTTCCCGGATCCCAGATGAGTGAAAGAGGGCCCTCCTCCAGAGCCCAGGAGTCTGATCTGGTGTCTTCAGGGTCCTGCTCGAGAGAGCTGTTCCAGAAACTTTTGCTTCAGAAACCAACAACTGGGATAAGGGTCTGCTTCTCCAGTGACCTTGGAGCATGGACCCCTCGGCCCTTTGCCGTACCACCTTTATTACTTTGGGCCCGACGGCATTCCCTTGTTTCCTTTCTCCCATTCTTTTCATTCCCAGCCCAAGTCCCACTTCTTCAAAAATCTTCACGGCTGACACATGACATAGGGCATCCCAGGAGCATAACTAGCCTTTTCAAGTGCACCCTTCCCCTTCATGTCCATTATCACGTTTCACTGCTGTTCTAACCACATGAGGCAGGTGGTGTTAGCACATTTTGTGGATGGATCTCGAGGTTCCCGGGGTTCCGCTCTGCCGTGAGCTAGGCCCCTGGTCTCCAGCTCCGAGAGGCTCCTTTCTGGACCCTACACTACCTCCTTGTGGTCTGGCAGGACCCGTTTTTGCTGTGCTCTGGTTGGGTCCCTGTCCTCAGCCCTGTCCTCACCGGCAGGGGATGGCAGGGAGGGGAAAAGCCATCTATCTAAAGCTGTCTGGGAGAGAGCCAGTGGGGAGGTGGTGACAACGCTTTAACGGATGTCGATTTAGGGGAGACCCTTTCTCAGACTCTAATAAGCAAACCCCTGTAGCCAAGAACTTTTTCAGAAGCACCCACCTTGGAGCCTTTTAGAGTCCATTCCCATGTCCCTTGCCTATATTTTTTTTGTTTGTGCATTTGTTGTGTTTTGCATGCTGGGACCCAGATGCCAGTTTGGGGGCTCTGCCGGGGTTCTAGGGGGCTGGGCCAACTTAAGGAAATAGCGGTTTGGACCCTGCTGAGCAAAGCCCCTCCCCTACAGGCCCTGAGTAGCTGGGGTATTTTGAGGCTGGGTGAAGGATGACATTTTCCCAAAAGGTAGCTTCTCTTCAGGGGAGATCAGTGATGGTGGGGAGCCCAGATATCGAGATGCTCTGACCCCACCCTTCAGAGTGTGTCGCATCTGCTTCCAGATCCCTGAATGGTGCCACGGACATCCAGGAGTTCCCAGATCTCAAAGGGACCACCAGCCTGGAGATCCTGTGAGTGGGGACCCTCACCCTCCACCTCATCCATGCCCCTGCTCCACCCCCAGGAGCTGTCCCGTGGAAGGCTGCTGGAAGGATCCTTTGCTTGGCCTTTATCTGGCCTGCTTCTGCTGCTGGCTCCAGCCTGGCCCAGAGGTCCCCTGGCTCAGCCCCAGGGACCCATGGCCATCTCCTGATGCGCCACTGCTGCAGGCAAGGCCAGGGGCAGCAGATGGTTTGGGGGTGAGGAGGCTGGTCTTCTCCTGACCATGCTTGGATTTTTCAGGCATGCCTTCAGAGTTCCTAACCCCAAGCTGTGAGCATCCTGAAGACCCGTGACAGGGGAGAAGAGTTGTGGAAACACATCTGCTTTGCCTTTCTGAATCACGATTTCAACAAGGACTTCCTCATATGTTCTATTATTATATCCTGTAGAGTGGGGGAGGGGTACCAGAGCACAGTAGGACCTCAACACATTTAAGAGGATGAATGGAACAATCAAGCAAACACCCAGAGTGAGTGTTAGGAAGCCAACCGCCCTGCCCCCCATCACACAGCTCATTCATGTCATGGCCCAGACAGGAACTCTCTCTCCTCTGTGCCTCTGTTGTCTTCCCCGAGATTTGCTGGCATCTGGAAAATTTTCCATGAGGGAAGTAATAGTTCCCCAAGAATGACCTTGGCCTTGGGTATTTCTTGGGACACCCTGTCCCTAGCCAAAACTGCCCCACAGCCCTCTCTGTCCCAGCCCCAGGTCCTTCCCTTCTTTCCCACCCCTTCCCCCTTCCCTGGGGCACGGGGAGCAGACTCTGTGCAAGGTTCCCATGGCTCCACTGGGGTTGTTTTGTTTCATTTTTCCTATCTACTCCCTGCCCATGGCTATGCACCCCCTCTCTAAGGAGGGCAGATGAGATTCTAGTTCCTGTCCTACATACCCCGTGTTGCCGGAGACCTCTCTGGGACAATGGGTGGGGACCCGATGGGTGGATGGGGTGTGGGCCGCGCGGGCAGGAACTGTCCGCCAAGCAGAGATCCCCTGGGCTGTGTCTGTCTCTGTTGCCCACCCCCACCCGCCTCCAGTCCCAGGGGAGCTCTGTGCTCAGATGCCAGACTTGCTCCTTTCTCTCCATATAGCTCCACCCCTGCCCTGTGCCTTCTGCCACTTCTCTTCTGTCAGCTCTGTGCTCCCATGTCAGCATCAGGCCCAGAGCTGGAGGCAGCGGCCAGGGATGGCAGGGCCTGGTGCCAGCTCTGTCTCTGCTCTCTCTGCAGGACCCTGACCCGTGCAGGCATCCGGCTGCTCCCACCAGGGATGTGCCAGCAGCTGCCCAGGCTCCGAGTGCTGTGAGTGGCTCACAAGTATTCCCCAGTCTTGGCATTGTGCCCTTGCTCCCATGGGCTGGAGCAGAGGCCCCTCCTGCTTCTGTCCCTCTGGGTTACTTCTTTTGCTGGAGAATGGGACAGTCTGCAGAGTACCTGCTCGGGAGGGACTGGGCTGTCCTCTCTTGCTCGGGGCAAAGGGACAATAGCCTTTGGAGTCTGACCAGGGTTTAAGGCCCAGCTTTGCCCCTTAGTAGCTGTATGAATTTGGACTCACTCTCTAACGTCTCAGGGCTTCAATGCCTCATCAGCAAAATATGGATAAATGTGTGAGGGTTGAAAAAAATGTCTGTCCAGCACACAGCACAGAGTGCTAGCACGTAAAAGCTGCTCAGCCAGTGGCATTGCTTATCTAGTAAGAACATTAAGGTCTTCCGGAAGCATGGAGGCATTTAAGTGGCCTATGAAGTCAAGGGGAGTTTTGTTCTCCCTCCTGAATCCGTTCGGAATGTGAGGCTTCTCCACATGGACCCACAGCTCGGGATGGGGAGGCTGATGCAGGAGACACTGCGTCCGCAGCTGTGCTAGCCTGGGTGTCTGGAGACGTGGGCTCAGCTTCCAGCCTTGCCACTGACTGGCAGTGTGTCCCTGGCAGGTTCTGTCCCTTCCCTGTGCCTCAGAGTCCTCATCTGTTAATGAAGGGGTTGAGCCAGATGATCTCCACAGGCCCAGGCTTACCCCCCCTCCCCCACCTCGGGACTCTGTGCGTGGGGACTACGGGGATGTTTCTTGGGTTGGCGGTGACCGGCTTGCCCAGTAAGGCCTGATATGGTCCCTGCTGGCTGTCGCAGAGCCCCGGCACCCTCTATTCCTTTTCTCATCTCTGTGCCCCTCTCACTTCCTGTCTCCCTTCCCCCAGGACCCTCCTAGGGTCCCCTAGGCCTTGGGACTCAGCGGGAGGAAGGGAAGTCCCCTTGCTGGGAGGCGTGTCAACAGCCACATCCCTGCAGGGTCCTCCCAGCCCTCGGCTGCTTGACAGGAAGGCACATCCTGGCGGGGCTGCTTCTCCTGGCCCCCAGCCTCACCCGGTCTTGCTCTCTCTCTCTCTCTCTCTCTCTCTCTCTCTCTCTTCCCCCAGGGAATTGTCTCATAATCAAATCGAGGAGCTGCCCAGCCTGCACAGGTGTCAGAAACTAGAGGAAATGTGAGTTGGGGGTGTGGGAGCGAGGTGAAGGCATGCAAGCCAGACTCGGGACAAGTCTGAGGGGAGGGGGGTGGGCAGGGAGCACACTCGGACATTTCTCCCTTCTCTGAGCTGGTTGACCCTCCCAAGGGTTAGGGCTGGGAGCTCAGAGGCCTAGACAAGGCCTCCAGGGACCACCGACGATGGACCCACCCCGTCAGTCTCAAGGTGGCTCATTGGGGGTAGCCACAACAATGAAAGGTAGTAGTGATTAGGGCCAATGGAGGGCCAGAGTCACATCAGCACTAGGAGGTGGGACACACTCACACATAGGAGAAGAATCCCAGGATTCAAATTTGACAAGGAAAAAAATCACCTAAAAAATTCTCTAAACTCTTTTCACTCAGCTTCTGTTTTTGTTTGTTTGTTTGTTTGTTTTGGGTTTTTTTCAAGCTTGGTGGGTCTCCTGAGCCTCCCTGTCTGTCCCTTGACCCTAGGTAGGGCAATGCCTTTTGGGGCCCAGGCAGGATAGGGGTGTGAGGGTCTGTCCTGTTTGTCTAGATGCCCAAGGAAAGAGGGTCTTCAGCATTACAGAGGGACATGCTCCATCTCCCATTCAGACAAGCAGTCCACTGAGCTCCGCCCCCCAGCTTGGGCCAGTCACTGGGTCATCCAAGGGCGGGGCAATGCTCTGCTGCTGGACTAAGGTCTGAAGAACGCAGGAGCGAGGTTGCCTGGGCTGGGAGCCAGCCCCGGTGGGAACCCTGGAAACTGACTCCCTTCTGGGCCACAGGGATGGTTTTGTGGCTTTGTCTTCTGACCCACTTACCCAAGGCAACCGGATCCCCTTGTGCTCCCTTTAATTCTGGTGACTTCCGCGGGCCCTTTCTTCCCGTGCCAGGAGAAGTGGGGGGCTCTCCTTTCTTCCTCATAGTGCATGGGGGGCGTGGAACGGGGCCAGGGTTTGAGCCTATTGGCTCATCTAGTCTCTCTTGTTGCCCTAGAGGCCTCCAGCACAACCGCATCTGGGCGATCGGAGCAGACACCTTCAGCCAGCTGAGCTCCCTGAGAGCCCTGTGAGTATCCTGCAGCATCCCAGACTGGACCCTACGGGGGCCCACTGTGCCCCTCTCTCGGGCACACTCCATACCCACAGTGTACATGGCAGTGGCGGGCACAAGTCTTCCCTGCTCGGTATCCCTGCCCCCAGCGCGCGCGCGCGTGCGCGCGCACACACACACACACACACACACCAGGAGAGGTGCCTCCCCTTCCAGACGGCTTCTGAAGCCACTTCTCCAGCTGGTGCCCAGGGGCTGATGAGATTCTGAGGCCAATCTGCCAAATCCCCTTTTCTGTGGCCCCAGCCAGGCAGCAGGTACCTTCCCCGAAAGGCTGAGGGTTCTGCTCCTGGGGGCAGCTCAGATGGGGAGTGTGAGAAGGAGAACTCAGGAGGGGAACGGCGAGCCCCGCACATGTCCCGGGTCTCACCTGTAATCCCCTCTCTGCGCACAGGGACCTGAGCTGGAACTCCATCCGGTCCATCCACCCTGAGGCCTTCGTGACCCTACGCTCCCTAGTCAAGCTGTAAGTGCGTTCTGCACCCTCCTCCCGCTGGATGGAGACCAGTGGGGACCCTAGGCCAGCGGGGGGTGGGGGTGGGCAGGGGTGGGAGGACCCACCCCAGAGTGGGGACATGCACGAATGTCTGACCGCACATCCCAGCCTCATCAGTCATTCTGACAGTCCGTTTGACAAGCCATGGGTCCTGATAAACTCCTGCAAGCTCTGGAATCTCATCTGCTAATATTTGGCAACATCTTAGTGGCCTCAGTGCCCTGTGCCCCCACCCCCTCTGGTCTCACGCCCTCCCTCAGCCTCTACATGTGCCAACAGAGAGGAGGTTAGAGCCCAAAACTCCTTCACAACCTGGGACAGTGGCAGCAGGTGTGGGAGCCAGGGTCTCAGCTCAACAGTCCCCCACATGAGCAGTAACACTAGAGGGCTGCCATTCTGCAGGGAGGCAGAGGCTCACAGGTTCCCTAAATTACACAGGCTGTAAACAGGGAGCATATAGTGCTGGCTGCATGGTCAATAGGTCAGAGCTGGAAGGGACCTCTGGTGGGACTGCCACACACTGTGGTGCAGGTTGTGTACTGCACAAGGGCTCCCACCCAAGAGGGAACTGACTGGCTGCTTCCATCCATGTCCCAAAGATGTGTCCATCCTGATAGGACCCTTTTCTGATTAACACCCAGACTCCACGGGCTAGCTCTAGTCCTGGCCTTGGAGATCATCTAGCCCAATCCCTTACTTCACAGGAGAGGCCTCCAGGCCCAGGGGAGAAGCCCGCTCAAAGCAAGGCCAGAATGCAAGCCTTCCAGGAGGTTCACAGTGCCCCTCCTGTCTGCCACTCTCTAGGCTCTGGGCCAGAGACTTGCAAAACTCACACCTCGGTCTTCCCTCTCCTGTTTGCTCTGCTCCTGCCAGATAGGTAGGGTGGTTATTTTTATCCCCTTGAAAGATGAGGACATTGAAACTCAGGCAAATTTGTGACTCCCCTTGATTATGCAGGGAGTCGGTGACAGCACCAGGTTTCCTACCTTCCAGTCCAGGCTGTTTCCACAACGCACAGTCTGTGGTGCTGGTGTTTGGTTTGGAGTGCTGGTTCCCTGTAATGTGTCTCCAGTAGAAGACCGTGCATGTCCTCATCTCTGGCTACAAAGCCAGCCCCCAAAACAGAACAGATGACCAAACCCCTGCTTGTAGTCAGAGGCCAGCTCTGTCCAATCCCTGACTCTGGCCTCTCATGTCGTCAGAAAAGTGGGGGAATAGGGGGAGGCAAGTACAGGCAGATGCCCTAGGGGGGTGGACAGGGACCCTCGGATGGGACAGGGAACTGGGCATAGGAGCTGTGGTTAAGGAACTCTGTGACCTATGAGTTGGGATGGCTTGACATTACCTTAGAGCAATCCCTAGTATATAGTTGGCCCCCAGTATTTGATGAAGGAATGAATGAATGAGTGAGTGAGTTAGGGGTGGTGCCTCTAGCAATCCCTGACCATCCTCCTGCTCCAGCATTTCGTGTCTTTGTCTCTCTTTGCTGATCTTCTGTCCTCTGCTCCTCTCCTCTTGCTTCCATCCCAGGCACCCTGGTCACACCCTCAGCACAGCCCTGCCCCCTCAGCATTCCCACTGACTGCCAATAACCCTGACCATGCACTGTCCTAGGGACCTGACGGACAACCAGCTGGCCACACTGCCCCTGTCTGGACTTGGGGGCCTGATGCATCTGAAGCTAAAAGGGAACCTGGCTCTCTCCCAGGCCTTCTCCAAGGACAGTTTCCCAAAACTGAGGTGAGGGTCTGGCTTTCCCCCACCCCCAGATAGTTTTGCCCCAGAGTAGCTGGGGAGGCCAAGGAGGGACAGAGAGAGCAAAGTCATGGGGCTTCACCTTGAGAAAAACCTGATGGCCCAGAGGCGTAGGGTTTGGTCACTGCTCAGTGGGAAGGGCTCCTGCCTCCCCTTCCTCATCTCATTCACAGCTTTTCTTTCTGTCCCAAGCAGCAGCCCTGGGGCTGCTGAGACCTCCTGTGAGGACAGGAGGAAGATGAGGTGCAGGCCCCCGGACCTCCTTGCTCCTTGTCCCCTTCGGGGCACACAGACTGCCTGTCCTCACTTGAGCAGCATCTGGGCCCCTGCGGTGAGGGCCGAGCCCAGGGCACCGAGGAGTGGAAAACAAGCCGCCCGACCGGTCCCTGGTGCTAATGACATCCAGGCCTTCTGCCTGCAGCGGCAGCACAGCCTGTGTGGCCCAGGCCGCCCCTACTGCCAGCTAACGAGCTGCCTGGGGGCATCAGCCCTCGCCTTCAGAGGGCACCAGATTCAGCTCGGCTGTGCCCAGGGGTGGGGCTGGGGGACAGGGCAAGGGTGAAGCAAGAGTCACTATGAGAATCCCTGTCTCCTGAGATCTCAAAAAAGAGTTGCTGGCTGGGAGGGGAGCAGAGCACTGGAGTGCTGTGTGATCTTGGGTGAGCCGGTCCCAGCCCTGAGCCTACTGAGGGGACCCCATAAAGGACAGAAAGTTTATCTTCCCATCTCATTCTCAAGATGAGTGAGGAAAAGATTGGCAGATGCTCAGAGCCCTTCAGAGGCAGGAGCCAGGCTGTCGGATCCGTACAAACAAAGCCCAGAGGGCCGCCTGCACCGTCATCGGGGCGCTTTGGGGTTGAAAGGCCGGTGCTGAGTGCTGGGTCCCTGGGTGGGCCGCCTAACCACTCCTCAGACAGCTCATTTTACCCCTGTGCCCCCTCGGCTCCCAGGATCCTGGAGGTGCCCTATGCCTACCAGTGCTGTGCCTATGGCGTCTGTGCCAGCTTCTTCAAGGCCTCTGGACAGTGGGAGGCTGAGGACTTTCACCTTGAGGAGGAGGAGGCTCCAAAGAGACCCCCAGGCCTTCTTGCCGGACAAGCTGAGAACCACTGTGAGTGATGGGGCTCCTGGGCAGGGCGGGTAGGTGGCCGTGGAGAAGAAGTTAGGGAGGAGGCCCGGGGGACCCTGAGAGGGGTCTGGCAGGGGCTGCAGAGGCAAACCCCAAGGGTGACCTGGGAGGTGACCTCTGTTTGCATCTTGTCTCTCTAAGAACGTAGCCCAAAGGTGCTTGGGGAGAAGATGATGACAAGGACAGTAGTAATGTTTCCATATTTGCCACGCCCTTCTTGGTCCCCAAGGTGCTTCCCAAGCTGCATCTTGTGGAGCACTCTTGCCCTCGTGGTTCGCACGTTCCTTCTCCATGGCTGCCTCCTGGCTACATGGGCCCTGTGATTTCATTCTCAGAGAGGACACCTACTTTCTAAATCAACCTGAGCCAAGCAGGATTGAATTAAGTCAATTAAATTAAACCTCCGTTTAAAAAAAAAAGTCCCCTCACTATATGTCCTAGAGCCAAGTGGAACAGCGTGGGGGATTATCACTCTCCCAAGTCCTCCTGTCCCTCAGAGGCCCCTGGCTGCAAGAGGACCTTGCTGAGAAGGGCCACATGGGTCTCTTTCTAGAACAGTTGTAAAAGAAGGAAGGGTGGAAGTAGGCAGCTGAGGGGGCTCCGAGAGACCATCTGCCAACGGTATCTTAGATAGAGGGCAGCGGGGAGGGCTTCTGTCCCCCTCACCGTCACTCCATGTGACAGAACACAGGTAGAATCAGGAGGAAGCAAAAAAGGGCCCCTGATATTTGAATTTCGTTTTCAGTCTCTAACCCCCTCTCCACAGTATGTCCATGGAGAAGCGAAACAGAAAAGTCAGAACGAAAACATGTAAGAAAAGCATCTTATGGTGGTGTAGACAGACCTGGGTTCTAAACCCAATGACACCGTTTACCAGTTGTGTTGCCCAGGACAAGCTCTTCAACCTTACTGAGCCTTGTTGTTGTTTTTTTTTTTTTTTGATCTGCACAGTGATAACTATACTACATATCTCACAGGTCATAGGGAGCAAAGCATGACCCCTGGTACTACCTGCCACTCTTACTACTGGGAACAGGGGCGGGGGCCTCCCCGTGTGTGTGAGGAGGGACGGCGTGTTGTGTAGTTTGGAACACAGCTTATGGAGGCCAGTATTCCACAAGCAGTTAAGGGGTCTCTGGGGTCTCTCTCCCAGACCCCTCCCCGGGGAGGGCGTCAGGACCCCTTGAAGAGCCCAGCGGCCAGGCTGGCTCTGGGCCGGCAGACAGCTGTCCCCAGGGGACATTCCCGGATGTCTGTCTGCTGTACACTCCCTCAGGGGGCTGGAAGGAGGAATGGAAACTTTCCTTCCTCAAGGTGAAACTTTCCACCAGGCTTAGGTCTTGGAGAGCCACAGGGCGTCAGAATCGTGGGCTGCCTGCCGCTGGTAACGGGAGCTGGGGCAGGGCCCCCCACTTCCTGTGGGAGCTAATAAGCCTTGAGGAAGAAAGCCAGGAGCTTCGGCTGCAGCCAGATTTGATTTCCTCCTCGTTTCAAGAGTGGTTACTTAACACCTTGGCTGTAACTTTCCCAGCCTCAGATGGAGTCCGCGGGCCTCAGCCTGTGCATTTCATTCATGTGTTCTGATTTCAAAGAATTGCTGAGCTCCATTCTGGAGAGCCGGGGTGGCAGGGAATGAAAGGTAGAGAAGAGAGGAAATGCCAGCACTCTGTGGGCACACCTCGGCCTCCTGCCCGCCCTGATGGTGTCTGGGCCAAGGGCAGCTCCGCAGAGCCTTCCTGCCTCCTGGGAAAATGTCCAACTGAAGGTGTTTACCCTTTAAGTGGGGAGGAAGGAAACAAACCACATGAGTCAAAGATGGGGACAAGCATGACACAGAGTCACCCCTTGTTAGTGTGTGGTGGAGGACGAGCCCATGGGGCGCTGTCGTTGAAGCCCGGTGCCTTACAGGCGTCCTTCAGAAGAGAAGCAGGGCTCTCCTACCACTCGGGGCCTCAGACACCTTGCCTAGTCTCACTAGAGAAACTGAAGTCTTATTCTTTTTTTTTTTTTTTTAAAGATTTTATTTATTTATTTGACAGAGAGAGATCACAAGCAGATGGAGAGGCAGGCAGAGAGAGAGAGAGAGAGAGGGAAGCAGGCTCCCCGCTGAGCAAAGAGCCCGATGCGGGACTCGATCCCAGGACCCTGAGATCATGACCCGAGCCAAAGGCAGCGGCCCAACCCACTGAGCCACCCAGGCGCCCCTGAAGTCTTATTCTTAAAAAATAGTCTTTCGGTGATAATTATTGCTGCAAACAAGGGTTTTGTCTTTATAAATGATAAGATGTTTAAGATGATCATTTCAAAATTCTTGTAGAATTTCTGGACTCCCAAGGTATCCCTAACACCCCTGGAGTTCATAGGCTCTGGTTTAAGAAACCCTGCCATAGTGACTAAGAGGAGAAAAAAAACTCCTACTTGATTCAAACAAGTTACAGAGTTTCTTTAACAATGGATTTATCTTTGTAATCCTATTTTCTCAGGCTAAGGAACCGCAGGGTCTAGACTTAGAATGGGAAGGATTGGTAAAGATGATCTAGTCCTGCCTCTCACCCCCCTTCGAAGTGCCCTTTCTCTTATCTGGGACTTTCTGTTCCAGCATCTCTGGGGACAAATGATGCCCACCTCGTGCATCTGTAAAGCTGTCCCTGCATTCCTTCCAGGCTGCCCCCAAACCCCCATCAGGAAAGCATAACAGTTAAATACCTGGGCTCTGTAGTGAGACAGACCAGGTCAGACTTCCGCCCTGCTGCACACCGACTAGGAGACCTGGGGCAAGTGCCTTCGCTTCCATGAGCCTCAGTGTTCTCATCTGTCAAATGATGTCAAAGGACACCTGCCATGTGCGGCTGCCGGAAAGGTTAATGAGACTGTGAAGACCACAGCTCGTGGAGCTGGCACAGGAGCTCAGAGACTCTTAGCCTCACTGGCACACAAATCTGTTAGTTGACACGGTTCACAATGCCGTGACTGCCGGATCCTCTTCTGTCTCCATGAGCTCCCTGAGACCAGGACCGTGTCTTCCTCATCCCCAAGTTGCTCTGCCCTTGCCCGAAGCCCAGCAGATGGCAGGCATGGCATGCGGCCCCTGGGACCTCAGGCCCACCTCTCTGTCAGCTCTAAGTGTGGGAGCTTATTTGTGTTAGTGACAAGGAAAGCTCATTTGAATTGTTAAGTCGCCTCCTTCTATGACCCTTCCTGATTCTACCCTCTGCACCAACACAGCATGTATGAGCACAGTTCCTTTATGCCTGATGGGACTTCAGCTCCTGGAGGACGGCCAGTCTTCCCACTTAGTCTTGCCTTGCCTAAGTTAATCCCCCAGTGGCTTTGACCATTTCTCAAGTGTGTGGCTTCTACTCGCTCACTCTCCCTGGTTCACCTCCTCTGAATATAGTCCAGCTCACTACTCAGTCTTAAGAAGATGTCCTTCCTGGGGCACCTGGGTGTCTGACTCTTGATTTCGGCTCAGGTAGTGATCTCAGGGTCATGGGATCAAGCCCTGTTTCGGGCTCTGCGCTGGGCATGGATCCTGCTTAAGATTCTCTTTCTCAGGGCTCCTAGGTGTCTCAGTTGGTTAAGCATCTGCCTTCAGCTCAGGTCATGATCCCAAGGTCCTGGGATAGAGCCCTGCATGGGGCTCCCTGCTCAGCGAAGAGCCTGCTTCTCCCTCTTCTGTCTGCTGTTCTGCCTACTTCTGCTCTCTCTCTGTCTCTCTGTCAAATAAATAAATAAAATCTTTAAAAAAAATAAAGATTCTGTCTCTCCCTCTCCCTCTGCCCCTCAACCCTGAACTTGGGTGTTCTATCTCTCTCTTTCTCCAAAGATATAAAAAAATAAAAGTAGAAAGATTTTCTTTCTTGCGCATGGTGTTCACAACTGGACAGGGAATTACAGTGGGGGACTGGCCAGTGTGGAGAACTGTTTGATTACCAGCTCCCATTTTTAAGGCAGCCTCCACCCTAACTCTAACACGGTAACTCTAACATGTGCTAACCTAGCACAGTAACTAGGCTGCCTGGAGGGGACGCACGTGCTCAGTTACAGGACAAGACAAGCAAGTCTCAGATGAAAATTTGCCGTAAAGAACAGACAATGCAAATAACCCACATGTGGATAATAGGAACAGACTCTTTTCACCTAAGAGTAGAACAGATGTGCAGGGCTGCTGGGATGACCTGTGCCGAGCAGAATGAGCTGGGGATGGCAGCTTAAAGAGGTGGGCATTTGGAGAAAGATGGGGCTTGATTGTCACCAAGACCTGGCCCCCAAGCCACCTCTGGTCTCATCTCTCAGATGACCTGGATCTGGACGAGCTCCAGCTGGAGATGGAGGACACAAAGCCACACCCCAGTGTCCAGTGCAGCCCCATTCCAGGTGAGACGGGTGCCTTGGTACGGGGTTGGGGGCAGGACTGGGGAAGGAGTACCCAAGTATTTAGATGAGATGCCCATTCAGCGTGGCATGTTTATAACCATACTTCAGGCGCCTTCTCTGCCTAAAAGCCAACATTCTGAGGGGAAGACAACCTCTTCTGGTGATTCTTGGGGAAGGAGCTGGAGTTCTTCCCTCGGGTGGCCGTTTGGAACAACAGTAGGGGAGGGGCAACTGTGGGGAGAGGGAAGTCAAAGCAAAGATCAGCCAATGAGAAGTTAAACATCCGAGAGAAAGTGTCTCTCATTGAAGAGAGAAGCAGTGAAGAATGTCTTGACCCCATTGTTCTGGGTGGTGTGTGGCGCTGCTTCTGAGCACCCCTTCAGTCTAAGAGTCACAGAATCCTAGAGTCAGATGGGCCTCCGAAAGGTTGCCTTCTCCATCCCTCTCTGCTCTCTTTCTTGAACAGTGTGCTTCTCTATTTCGTCTCCCCTCCATTTTCCCGTTTTCTATCTGTCTTTGGTTCGTGTCCCTTGGCCGCCTCTCTTGCTTTCTCTGAGCTAGAACAGTGCTCAAGGACTGCCAGCACCTGCTCGCAGCACTCAGTGGCTATAGCACGCCCTCTAGTGTCAGCCCAGAACAAGAACACCAACGCAGTCTGGAGGAAACAGGTGGTGTTTTCTTCCTGACTTGGAAACCCATAGGCTTCACGCTGCCATAGAAATTTCGCCTCTGAAAACCAATAATCAGCAGTGTTGAGGTAAAAGAGGAGGCTCCAAAAGGCAAAGTCCAGCTTGAACTTGCTTTAAAGATAGATCGTACAAGTGGTCAGATAAATTATGGTACATCCATATGGGCAAGTATTTACTACGCGGACATGGAAAACACATTTTGGAGGAAGATAAAGATTTGGGAAAGTGTGCATAATAAAATTTTAACTTAAGAAAGGGAATTAAAGCCTATATGCGGAAAATCCCAGTTTAGTTTAAAAACATATATGTTTGTATGTATCTTTTAAAAAATGGGAGGAGACATACCAAAACGATGAGTTCTTTTGGAGAGGTGGAATGATAAGCAGTTTTAATTTTTCCATGTTTTATTTTCCAAACTTTCTGCAATGACCATCTATTATATGGTAGTCGGAAAAAAAATATGTTTAAAAAATAGTTCCCACAAAAGCCTCTCAAATTCCCAAGCTACTAGAAATACATTGCAGAAGAGAAGTCTGAAGCCAAAAGAAATGAAGACATAACATGTCCAAAGTTACAGGGTGATTTAAGGACAGAACCTGAGGGGAGAGATGGAAAACACCACCATCACAACCATTTGCGCAAAACCAGGTTGGAAAAACCCAGAGTCATCTGTGTTTTCATTTACTTATTATACTTTTCTTTCCGAATACCGATTGACTCTGTGAGTACCGACTGTGGTCTCTCTCCCCACCACAGAGCAAGGGAGAGCCAGCCAGGTACAACACCTCATCAACGGTGGGGTCTTTATCGGATCCCTGGGCACTGACTGGGAGAAGCAGAGCCTTGGGATGCGGACTGGTCACTCTCCGGGCAGCCCCCCACACCTCTGTGTCTCCAGCTCAGCCGTATCCCAGTTCAGATGCCCCCATTTTATAGCACACTCCTGTATGCCGTCTCACCCCTTCCTTGCTCCAAAATGCTTTGGAGAGTCTGCTTTGCTGAACGTTTCCTCAATTCCTGGGTTTGCGCTGTGTACTTTGTGTACAAATTTGTTTATTACATGTTTCTATTTCTGCATGTATTGGCTGAGTGTTCCCTGCATTTGCAGCTCCTTGGAAGAAGAGCTGCGTATATGTGCCCACTGCCCCCTACCCCCCACCCCACCTGACAGTCCTCAGAGACCAAGTCAGCTCCTGTCAGCCCAGGAGTTCTCTGGGGACAGAGGCTGTGTCAGCCTCCCCAGCCTCATCCCCAACACGTAGGCCCAGCAGCCTTGGACCTAGGGGTAATGTCTCATCCCCTCTCCCGCAGGCCCCTTCAAGCCCTGCGAGCACCTCTTCGAGAGCTGGGGCATCCGGCTGGCTGTGTGGGCCATCGTGCTGCTCTCTGTGCTCTGTAACGGGCTGGTGCTGCTGAGTGTCTTCGCAGGCGGGCCTGGCCCTCTGCCCCCGGTCAAGTTCGTCATCGGTGCCATCGCGGGTGCTAATGCCCTAACCGGCATATCCTGTGGCCTCTTAGCATCCGTGGACGCCCTGACCTTTGGCCAGTTCGCCCAGTATGGAGCCCGCTGGGAGATGGGGCTGGGCTGCCAGGCCACAGGCTTCCTGGCCGTCCTGGGGTCCGAGGCTTCCGTGCTGCTCCTCACTCTGGCCGCCGTGCAGTGTAGCGTCTCCGTCTCCTGCGTCCGGGCCTACGGGAAGGCCCCCTCCCTGAGCAGCATCCGAGCGGGGGCCCTGGGCTGCCTGCTGCTGGCCGGGCTAGCCGCGGCCCTGCCCCTCGCCTCGGTGGGAGAGTACGGGGCGTCCCCGCTCTGCCTGCCCTATGCCGCGCCCGAGGGCCGGCCGGCCGCGCTGGGCTTTGCCGTGGCCCTGGTGATGATGAACTCCTTGTGCTTCCTGGCCGTGGCCGCTGCCTACATCAGACTCTACTGCCACCTGCCGCGGGGCGGCTTCGAGGCCGTGTGGGACTGCGCCATGGTGCGGCACGTGGCCTGGCTCATCTTTGCCGACGGGCTCCTCTACTGCCCTGTGGCCTTCCTCAGCTTCGCCTCCATGCTGGGGCTCTTCCCTGTCACCCCAGAGGCCGTCAAGTCTGTCCTACTGGTGGTACTACCCCTGCCTGCCTGCCTCAACCCGCTGCTCTACCTGCTCTTCAACCCCCACTTCCGGGATGACCTGCGGCGCCTCTGGCCCTGCCCAGGGACCCCAGGTCCCCTAGCCTATGCTGCTGCCAACGAGCTGGAGAAGAGCTCCTGCGATTCTACCCAGGCCCTGGTGGCCTTCTCTGATGTGGATCTCATTCTGGAAGCTTCTGAGGCTGGGCGGCCTCCCGGGCTGGAGACCTATGGCTTCCCCTCAGTGACCCTCATCTCCTGTCAGCAGCCGGGGGGCCCCAGGTTGGAGGGCAGCCATTTTGTAGAGCCAGAGGGAACTCACTTTGGGAACCCACCACCCTCCATGGATGGAGAACTGCTGCTCAGGGCAGAGGGAGCCATGTCAGCTGGTGGGAGCCTGTCAGTGGGCAGGGCCTTCCAGCCCTCTGGCTCTGCCTTTGCCTCACACTTATAAATGGCCCTTCTCACTCTTTTCTTCCCATGTCTTCCCTCCCCTCTCCTCCCACTCCATGAATGATGGCTGCTTGTAAAATAAATTCAACCAAAACTCCACAGTGTGATCCACAGCAGGACGGCCCAGTCCCGGGGCCCTGGGCTCCACTGGTCTCCTCTCTCCCATGGCCATCACCAACATGTGCTTCTTGGCCTGGGGTCCTCCCCTTGGCCTTCCTCTGGGCCTCTTTCCTCTCACATCTGAAGCTGTGGACCAGAGATCTGGACATCTTTCTGGCTGAGGAGAATGAGGGATGAGGGAAGCACAAAGGAGTGACTGCGATGGGGAGTCGAGCAGGTCAAGGATCAGGGTACAATGGGCAGGGGGGCCTCACAGGGAAAGACCAATAAGGGGACAGCCAAAGGCATCCGGGCATCTGCCCTTTGACTTGCGGATTGGACATGAAATGTATTCTGTGTCCTGTTAATCTCAAGATAGGACATGCAAAAAGACTGTTCAAATCAGTTTTAGAAGATACGACACATTGTGTCCCTTTCTCAGAGAGTCACAGTGATATTAGCACGGTAACGGCTGCCAGAATTCCCACAGCGGTAAAGTCTGTTGAACTTTGTTTAACCCACTTCCCCAAAATATTTGACAACAGGTTTTTGTTTGGTTGGTTTTCATGGACTATCCGTTAACATCTCACAGAATGTAACACTGCTCTCTCCTGGGGCCCCTCATGTCTACACCACCTAGTGTTCCCCAGTGACCTCACAAGTGCCACCGATCCTAGAAAACCCCTATTGTAGGAGTTTCACCTGGGGCAAAGATGATTCCACCAACCGGAGAAGACTCTCCACACTACTTTCCCATCCTTCTTGCTTTGCTCTGGGAAGGATGGGGGAGAGGCTGCCTTTGGCCCCGCTCACTGGGGCAGGGATAAAGAGATCCCGCACGGGGTCCCCCCTCTTCCCAAAGCCTAACCACCAGTGCAACTTCTGCCCTTAGTAAGAGAGCGCGTCCCCGGATCCTGGCAGGGTACACACAGGGAAGTCAATGACTGCTTGGCTTCCTTCTGGCTCTGACTTGCCTTCCTGTGGTTCTCCACCATAAGCCTCTTGCCAACTCCGGCCACAAGCCTAGTTTCTTTGCATCCCAGGTCCTGCCTTCTCTGTGGGACAGGGAGCCCCTGGCCAGCAAACTAGAGGGATGTTTGCATTGTATGTGTTGTTTTGTAGGAAGTATTATAGGAATCTGGGGTCCCTGGATGCCCCAAAGAAGCATGATGCTTCTGCCCCTCCCGTCATAACCTTCCTACTTTATGGTTTACCAGGTGCTTCTGAGCATTCTAGCACTCCCCACCCCAAACACACACGCATTCGATCTCAGGATGAGGAGGTAAGAGCTAGAACATTCTTGGAGACACAAAAAGGGAACCCAAGGCTCAGAAAAGAGGTTCTACTATTAAGACAACTCTGAGAAGGTCCTTCCTAGCCTGCAGTTTATCTTCTCGTCTATCTCCCCACTGCCCCTGGTGCCCAGTGGAAATGCTGATGCATGTCCCCAAGGCTGACTAGGCTGGGGATGAAGGGATGAGGCAGAGACCGTGAGTGGAACTTGGCGTATTTCTAAACCTCATTTGACCAGCAAGTTGCCCGGACTCTTACAGGCTCTGGAGCTAAATGTGCTGACCTTGTGATCACCCACCCACCCTGTGGCTCCTAGCATAGGGTGAACCTCAGAGTAGGCACTCACTGGATGATGGGGAATTCATTCAGCAATTGGTTAAGAACCCCTGGCTCCTGTTTTCTAGGGCTGATGAAGAGCCTTTCATGGGAGGAATTTGCTCTCCTTTGGGTACTGGGAGTTGGTGACTGTTATGTGGAACGTTTCTCAGAGGTGCCCCAGGGATGTCAAAGTAGGTGAGATTTGGGGGAGCTTGGACTTCTAGGAAGTCCTTCAGGCCCTTCCTCACAGCTACCCCCACCCCATGTGATCACTTTCCCCCTTGGGGCCAGGGAGCCAGTGTTGAGTGGAATGTGGAGTGAAGTGGCCACGTGTTGGGGGTTTAGGAGTCATGGGAACAGTCCCCTACAGGTGGCCTCTTCTGTGAAAAGGGCGCCAGTGTTTTTTGGCTGCAAGCTCTCGGGTAGCGCCACTGTCTCTTATCATTTACTCCCAAAGATCTGGGCATGTGCCAAGTCTGGCCCTTCTGGGCAGAGGAAAGGTGTGGGGGAAGGGAGTGGAGGCATTTACCATGAACTATCTTCATTATTCAGAAAGCCTAGTCGATGCTGTACATTTACCCAAAATAAGGCGGCGAAGTAGTTTCTTTGTTTCTGACAGACTTTCTAGCAAGTCAGTATGTTACTCTTTTGGTTATCTCCATTATAATCACTAGAAGACTATAAGGTTTTATATGTCTTTGATGAAACCCAAAATCAAAAACCAAATAACTCAGTGCATGTGAAATCTTCCAAAATGGTGTCCATGGGGACGAATCCATCCAAAGGGCCGTGGTGGTAGAAATGTTGGGAGCTGCTGACTTGGGATGTCCTCCCCTGGCCTCCGTGCATTGTGCCTTGGCAAACAGTGCCTACCACAGTCTCTTCTTCTCAGACCAACTTGCGGAGGAGAACTTTCTATATTCGACCAAGGTTTTTAATGCACCTCTGCACATATCAAGAGGAAAACTCCTTAATTCAGTGCTGAGATTTGAAGACTGTGGATTAACAGAGCCTCTGGTTACGCCTTCTCTTAGCCTTCCTCTCCCTACCTCTTGCTCCTCAACCTCCTTCCGAATTTTCCTTTTCCAAGAAGAATAAAAGGTTTGAGGATTGAGGGAGGGGAAAGAGGAAGAGTTTCCAACAATTAGTAGGGCCTGAATGAGTGAGGATGACGGGAAGTAGCTAGAATCCTTGATCCTGTCTGGCACCATTTCCTCTAACTACCTCTGCTCTGGTGTAGCAAGTCCTCCCACCCACCCTGTATCCCTCACATCACTTCTGGGTTCCCCACCCCGTGCCCTCTCCAGCTGTGTGAAGTGTAAGAATTGTCAAGATGTAAATATTTGGATTCTTCTGTACAATAAAGCACCAGTGAGGTATCGCATGTGTCCCTCGACGCTTTTCTGCTGCCGCCGATAGCTCTGTGGGGGGCTCCGCCAGACGTGGGGCTGCCTTGAGAGAGGAGAGACCAGAGAGTCAAGGCTCTTCCTCACCCCATCCCCTGAGTTCTGGGGCATCGGGGGGCACAGCCAAGGAGGCTCAGGTTGGAAGTTCAGAGGGATCAGAATCAATTTGGCTCACCCGTATTTAAGTGGCCTTTGGGGGCTGGACCTGGGTTAGGTGGAAAACAATCTAGAGAAAGCAGGCAACATGGTAGACTTGCTGTTACCCAGCCCCGAGCATCCTCTCAGACCCAAAGCCTATTCCTGGGGTTTCCCGATTCTGTGAATCCCAAAGAACCTATCAGCTTCCTTCCCTCTACTTGGGCGACCTTCTTCACCCAGTCTCTGCCTTGAAAATCTTCTCCCTGAAGCCTTGACCCAGAGTGGGATGATGTCCCCGAGACAAGCAGGTAGGCCCCTTCTAGAGGTAAGGGAAAGAGTGGGTTGAGTAAAATCCCACATTCGTGGGAAGGATGTGAGCCCGACAGGGCCTTACTGACCTAGCGCCCGACTTCCAAGAGGCCAGACGGTGCCTTCAGGAGCACCCTTCTTCCACCCTTACTGAAGTTAGAATCCCAAACCCCATCCATCCTTGTGGCCCAACTACCGGGAAGGCCATTCTGCTGCTCCCGCTGGACTGACAGAGACGGAGACACAGGGGCTAACTAAGTAAGTACATGTTCCCTAACAGGGTCTGTGGGGAGCAGGAAGGGAGGCAGAATCTCAGGAAATCGAAGACCAGCATGGCTGCAATGGGCCATTCTGGATGAGAGGCCATTCTGAGATCCAGCCGGTGGGAGTCTGTGGTCTGGAGCCCACCAGCACCAAGCAAAGCTGCCCTCTCTAGGCCTGCCCAGATATCTGTCCGCCTCTCACCACAGTCCACTGCTCCTCACCCCCTTTTTACCTGGAGTAAGTAGTACCCGTGCATGGTTCGAATAAAACCCATCTGTTTAACTGTCCCCATTTGCCCATTTGCAATTCCCTCGCTGGTCGCCCCTGTTGTTTCTTCTATATCCTTCCAGACTTTCTTCACGCATAACAAACAAAATGCATATATATTCTTACTTCTCCTTTCTGCCCAAGGTAGCAATACCACAATTCCGCTTCTGCAGAATTTTTCATGTATTAAGAGAGCTCAAAGATCTTGCCTTACCAAAATGCTTTCTCTTTTTTTTTTTTTTAACAGTATCTTACTTTATATAGACGTATCCTGAATTTTATTTCCTTCTTATGGAAATGTGGTTGCTTAATCTTTTGCTTCTACAAACACGGCATCAAGTAACACTGGACAAATGTCATTTAGCACACGTGTAGGCATATCTGTAAGACACAGTCCCAGACGTGGAATTGCTGGGTCAAAAGAGGGTTCTAGATCTTGTTCCTGAAGCTGTGGAGCCGCACGCGTGTGTGGGCGGTAGTGCACTCTGGGTGGGCGCACCGTGTCCCCGGGGTGTGGGACTCCGGGAGGCACGTGTCCTCACTGCTCCCGCTGGGGGGCGGGGGCGGCGGTGCCGCGTGAACCCGGCCGCTGCTCCGTCTGCGAGGCGCCTCTCAGGCCTGCTGTGCTCCCCGCCGCCTGGCCAGCCTCCTGGATGCGGGGCGTTCTGGGCTGTGCGTCTGGCAGGAGGGGGGGCAGGCTCGATGGGGCCAGTGCCTCAGAGGGGCCGAGATGAGCCCGGGTGAGGCTTGGATCCGGCCCGGCATCATGCCCCTGATGGGAGTGAGTCACAAAAGCAAGGTTTTTTTTTTTTTTTTTTTTTTTTAAACAAGAGTTTTAGTTAATAGCATCTTTCCTTTAACTCATTTTTTCTTTTAACTCATAGTCTACGTTTGTTCATAACTTTTGCTTACGTGGGCCTCACGATGACCTGTTCTTCCTTAAGCGCTCCTCTAGGCATCCTTTCTTTCGGCTTCCATTCCTGGCTAATTGCC